AAAACCGGGTAAAAAACGCGGGCGGGCGGGTGGATCCTTCGGCATTTCCGGAAGTTACTTACTTCCAGGTTCGCCGACCAACCGGTTTGCGGGGACCGCCGCAAACCGCCTGAAACCCATCCCTGCTGAACATTATGAACTATTAAGTACCAAATTCCATCAATGAAGGGCTTGACCAATTCAAAAAGAAGAAAATAAGACAATTCTATCAGGTGAAAAGCTGTGGCATTTTAATTTCTCATACAATATCTTACTTAAATGAAACAAAATTATCAATTGAAATCAAGAGTGCCAAGACAAAAGGGGGAAAATAGTTTAAATCAATATGACAGGATGTATGTCCAAATAAGAGTCACAGGTTAGATTAGGCTCAATTACAGCAAAAACCAAATTTGGCCTTCAAATACCTTCCTCAAGAGTTAGGTTGTATCTTTTCGAAGGTAGTGAAGAAGTTTATGTGAATCCAACTTGGCTTTTGCACAGAAGTTGTGCCTTAACCCCAGCCAAAAATATTTTTATTGCAGCAAACATGAAGTATGCTCTTTTAGAATGTTTTCAAGGAGGTTGACAATTTCTGTGCATTTTGAACAACATGTTGCATATGCGTCCTGCATTTACATGTAGTACAAAATATTGCCCTTAAATACTTGTAAATTTTCACCTGTTCAACTAAGTGCATATTTGGAATTCTTATGTGTTACAACATACATTATAAAGGAAGAACTTGTAAGACAGTAAGTTCAAAAGTGAATTTGAATCAATAAAAGTTTATATAACACGGATTCTGGTCCTACCCATCTCCATTTTTACTTAGGCACGCATTTTGCGGAAAACCAATCTAGAAGTTTCTCTAATTAATTTACCAGTTTGTAAATCTAACAAATAAGTTAGCTCATCTTCAGAATTTCCCATGAATTTTTAGCCAACTGATATTGTCCAATGTATATTTTCTTTTCTTTTTGCTAACATTTTGCTAATGAAATTCAGAAATTCATTAATCTGCTTCTGGCTTGCTAGTATTTTTACTGCTTTGTCAGTTATACTTAAACTATAATGAGATTACTGTAGTTTTATTACACAATTTGGTTCCACATGAAACTGAAGAAAGATTTTGAGCAGGGAGCTGTANTCTTCTTTTGATCTGTTCCCACAATACTTGGCCCATCAAAGCATTTTATGCAAGTGCCATTAATTTGTAAAGATTCATCTTTACAGATAGGGTTTCCAGCACGATAAACTGCAGGGCTTGTGTGATGGATGACCAAAAATGGAAGAAAAACCAGTTGAGGGCAAGGAAGGCTGGTCTGTGACAGGGGAACATGGTATCTACTTAACTGAAGCAAAACAAACATAGTTTGCCATGTGCAAAAAGCATTTTTTTTTCTAAAGTGAGGTTTGTGTGTATGTGTGCACAACTCATGCATTCCACACAAATTCACAAATTACAGTAGTAATCATAAATTACAGTAGTTTTTGTGTCATTTTGCTGTTTCTCTTTGGGGGGAAAAAAATTGCAGGGAAACCACAGAGCTAAAATTACATATATCTATTGCAGTTGTAATTTCAAAACTACTCACCCTCCTGCAGCAGCAGCGTGGAGGCACGTCCTTCCAAATTTATCTGGGGTGTCTATATCAAAGCCTGCAGACAGCACGTGCTCATTACTAAACAAGGACACTATGCTATACTTTTGTCCTAGTTAAACCGCAAGAAACATTGCAGAGACAGAAAAATCAGTTAGTCAGGAAAAAAAAATTCAGAATGAAGACACAACTGTAGTCAGCAAGAGGTTGTTATGGAAACGGACAGCGGCTGTTCAAGCTTGGCCGCTACAGAAAAATAAAAAAAAAGAACCATAAAGTCAAAAAGAATCTATTTTCACATCCACCCCATTGCTATTGAAGTATTTAAATCATGCAGCAGGCATTTCAGGAGGAGACTTTCAAGAGAAGTGACAGCAGGCATGAAGGCAGAGAGTTCTGTGTGGAAAATGAGGAAGTCACAAGAATTGCCTCAGCACGCATCAAAGAGAGTTTTTATTGACTAATGGCTTCAGATTTTGCACGGGAACAGGAAATAATCACTTTCTAGAAAAGGACGGATATTTTGTATGGAGAGCAGCACATTTTTTATTGCAGCCAGGACCTAATCAAATCCACAATTAAGGAGGGGGTGGATCATCTCTGTGAAATTGCAAAAAAGGAGAAATGATTATCATTTCCCTTAAGGCAACAGATAGTGAATTCACAAGGATGTCGAATTGAGTTCTGTCTGTTCCTTTATCTGCATTATCCCCATCTCATTCCTTCACCAGATGTTGAGGGGGAGCTTCTGCCATAGAGAGATGGAGCAATGGAAAATGGCCATGGCCACGAATTGTTTGAAGTGACTAATAAAAAAAGAACTGAGCCTCACTTTAAGATGTTCTGCGGCTCTAAATTTAGATTTAACGTTTGCTTAGTATAATGACGATGACAAAGATAACGAACTAAGAGATTAAAGAGACTCATCATAGGTCTCCCACACTTCCGCAATCATGTCCATCCAGAGAATACAACTGCTCTAATATTGGGCATTTGAAAATGCAATCAATGACCTTCTTACTAAAAATGTCTAAAAAGGTACTTGTAAAAGCAGCTTCCATTATCATTCCTTTGCCATATTGTACTGATTTTAGCATTAATGGACAAAATAACAGATGTGCCCTCTACAGAAAGGCATCTTGTAAGGATTAGAACTGATGGTAGATTTTGTCCAGTGAAGGACAAGGCCTAGTTGGTAGGCCAGAGCGAGGGACAGCTGCTTCACTAATTTTGGAGAGCAAATAGTTAAGCAATTGGAATAGCCCATATTATGGGAAACTGATATTTCAAAATCAAAGACTAGCATATTGCNGTGGGACTAGAATCAGTTCCTTGATTTCTAGGCCCATACCTTAACTATTACAGCAAACTTGTCCTTTCATGTGGCCAGCATACAACAGCTTCAATCTAAAGGAGTCCTAGGTATGTTTATTGCAATAAAAGCAAGGCAGGAATTGGAAGGAGCTGATCTGCAGCTCAGATATCTTGTTTCCGTCACATATTTGCAAGGACATGTCTTGCTGAATAGCTCAAGGAAGGAAGTCCCTTAGTCTCACTATTCTTTCTGTCCTGGCTAGAGAATAGACTTTCCACTTTGATCCTCCCCAGATCTACTGAGATTGCCCTGTTCTATATTACCTATACCTACCCATCCATGTTCAAAGTTATGATACATACCCTTAAAGAAATTTTTCCCTGAACCTTTAGACAATTCTTAGTTAAAAATGTGAATACCAAGAGCATTCTTTTTAAATTAAATTTAATCTCACTCAGAAAGAACCATTGCACTCAATTCATTTTAACACTGCTTAATTTGTGCAAGATCCCTTTGACATGAAGTTATCCTGCACACATCCTACTGTGATGAATGGGAACAGTATGAAAAGACCAAAAATAAAAAAAAGCACAGCCCTGGATCATTTCAATACATTTATAAAGTGCAGAGGAACATTCTGCTGAGAGATTTCTTGAATGAGCTAAGAAACCTTGAAATAAATTTGATGCATCGACTATTTCAAGTGTAATTAAAGGAATTAAGTTCATATTCTTCTTCAGTCAAGCTCTTGGCTGGAAGAACTGTGTCACTGTGCAGTCCCTGAAGTCTGTGGCCTGCTTTCCCCTCTCTCATCCCTTAAAACAAGTCTTCAGATGCATAAATTTTAGAATGGTAGAGGTTCACCCTTCCTTTTTATAGCTTGCCTTTGATACAAGGGAAGGCGCACTCTATTAAAAGGAGTGATCTGGCTGAGGAACTATGAGTGTTTATTTTCTTTCCTGTCTGGCAACTGTTTTCCAGGACAGTAATTTACAATTTGGCCTATATTAAAGAACTAAGTATGGGCTTGTCTGGTCTAGCCTGAATGTGCAAGGAAGACAAATCCTACCCATTTAGGAGAGGAAAGTAAACAAATCTAGAATATAACTTTTATCGTTGAATGCATGTCCATTTAGGGTGTTTGTGTGTATGTGTGTGTTTACTGCTATCTGGGCTAATTCAAATTTGCAAATGTAGAAACCTGAAAGAATTCTGGCTCAGTATAGGGATGGATGTGAACACACCGTCCCTGATCTGCTTTTCCTTAATGGCACAGCAGCCGATTCCTTGCAATACACTGGCATGGCAACCCTTACAATACAATACAATAGGAGAGTTGGAAGGGACCTTGGAGGTCTTCTAGTCCGACCCCCTGCCTAGGGCAGGAAACCTTATACCGTTTCAGACAGATGGCTAGCCAACATCTTCTCAAAGACTTGCAGTGTTGGGGCATTCACAACTTCTCGAGGCAAGTTGTTCCAATGATTAGGGGAAATCTGCCCTATTACCTAGAGCCGAGGTGGTGCAGTGGTTAAATGCAGCACTGCAGGCTACTTCAGCTGACTGCAGTTCTGCA